CTGAAATCAAAATTTCATCCTTGACCTACAGTAGTTTTTAAGCAGCACTCCCTAATCCAAAATTTGTCTATTGGGACTTGTGTTATTGGTCAGTTAGACCCCAAATGGTAAATGGACCTGTACTTGTACAACACCTTTCTAGTCTTCCAACCACTCAAAGCACTTTTTACACTACATGGCACATTCACCCTTTCACACAGTTGATGGCAAAGTCCTTCGAACAGAAACTAAGCATTATACAGTACATTCACGGGGCAAATTTGGGTGCAGTATCTTGCTTCGACACGTGGCAGCATGAGACACAACCTTCCGATTAGGGAACGACCTGCTCTTCCTCTGAGCCACAGCCGCCCCAAACATAAGAAACATCATCATGTAGCTTAACACACATTTGTACATTTGTCTATAAATAGATTTTTGGCATAGAGTTGGCTAGAAATGTATATCGGTCCATATCCCTTATAACATATAAAACATGATACAGGTCCTTATTTGGTGCAATAACAATGCTCTAAGGTAGTGATCGGCAACAGACGGCCGGTGCCAAAATAATTCTGGCCCGCCAGATAATTTGATAGTGCCTGGTTCTAAAACAGATCTCCGTCATGGCTCCGTTACTCACATAATCACTTCCTCTTTAGCAATTTTGCCTACAAAATAAAATTGCGAGAAAGTTTTTTGCAGTAATCCTTTATTTTGAGCTGACTTGAGAGCTTGTACTTTGAAAAGTTCCGACTGAAGTTTAAAGGATTTTGTTCCTTGCTTGACATACCTTTGAAATAGCCAACATAAAATGTGTGGTATGAAAAAAATAATGGAAATAATAATAATAGATTTTTGGGGGGCAATTTTGCAAAAGTGAGAGGAAACCTGAACCCTTGCATTCTGGCTAGGAATATAAACTGAAATTCTTACTGTTTGACATTCTGAAAAGGACCCTACAGTGATAGGAAATGTTTTGCGTGATCTGGTTTGTGCCTGATGAAGTGTCCCTCAAGGAGAAATCTTGTTCTGAAATCTCCTGAGAGGTGACTTGTTTGGAAATGATTTCTTCAATACAAAGCCATATTTGGTGCATTGAATAGTCAGTCTAAGTGCGCACAATAAGGGTTTTCCTGCCACATTCATTGGGCAGTCTTTGCAAATAGCAAAAGAGTGGAGTAAGTTTTTCACACCAAATTTCTTGCAATTAACTGGAGTCAGTTCAGTGAATTGCATTTGAATTGCCTTTCCCAATATTCCAAAGCCAATTTCAGATTTTGGAGACATCTGAAGGGCTGCACCTGGTGAGTTCAGTACCGAAAAGTCACTTCCTGTATCAACCAACATTTTGTAGGTTTTTCCATGGACTATGATGTTGAAAGTGGCAGGATTGTAAACTTGACAACATTGGAAAAAACCTGTAATAAAATGCTTTAATCTCACAATGGGACTGGTTCTTTCAGATTTCCTCAGTATAATCCTATTTTCTGTGCAAGTAATTGTCAAGCCCAAAGCACATAATAACGGCCCTCCTGCCAAATTGGGCATGCTACTTTGGCATTCTGGGTGAATGAGAAATCTATGGTATACATTTGATACACCAAAGCATTCAACAAGGCACATGCATGTCAAATTAAAATCAACCTGCTCACCCGACACCTCAGTGGTTGTAAAAGTCGTTTCAGATGTCGGTAAGGAGTCTGTTGTCAGAAGTGACCAGTGAGATCCTGTATCAGCCTGTAATCTGTAGATATTGCCTTTGATTGTGACCTCAAAAGTTAATTCCTCTCTAGAATTATAGGTGAGAGAGGAGTTATTGTTGTCTTCTTCCGTTGTCATGTTGATCTTTGAAAGTATCTGTAATATCATGTGTGCATGTTCTCTGGCAGAGTAATAAGTACAAATCTAAATATCCTAAGGTAAGAATGTTGTCACTAAGCCCCACCCCCACAAAGTAAGTGCAGCTTAGCAACTGTTGCTACACAATCTGATGTCAGAAATCAAAGGATAGAATTTTACTACACTTGTCAATAAAGTTGGGGGGAAAAAACAGCAATAAAAAACACTTCCCCCACTACCCCGTCCCGAGACACCAACTGCAGCAACTGTTGCTTCACATTTCTTAAAATCAGAAATGGGAAGTAACTAAGAACATACTTACAAAGTAGCCTACAGTTTTTTGCAAGAAATGCAGTCCCGTAGCTTTATGTGTGAGTTGAAGGACATATCCTGATCAAAGATAACTCCAAGATTCCTGAAGGTGTTGTTGGAGGTCAATACCATCTAGAGTAACTATATCTTAGCTAATTTATTAATTTCATCAGGCTTGATCGATAGATATAACTGTGTATCATCTGCATAACAATGAAAGTTAATGGAGTGTTTCCTAATAATGTTGCCTAAGGGAAGCATATACTGTATAAAGTGAATAGAATTAGTCCAAGTACAGAACCTTGTGGAACTCCATGACTAACTGTAGTATTTATGGAGGATTCATCGTTAACGTGTACAAACTGAGAACGATCTGATAAGTATGACTTAAACCAGCTTAGGGCGGTTCCTTTAATGCCAATTTGATGCTCAAGTCTCTGTAAAAGAATATTATGGTCAATGGTTTCAAATGCAGCACTAAGATCTAATAATACAAGTGACAGAGACAAGCACCATTGGTCAGAGGCAATCAAAAAGGTCATTACTAACTTTAACCAGAGCTGTCTCTGTGCTGTGATGAACTCTAAATCCTGACTGAAAATCCTCAAATAAATTATTGCTATGTAAAAAGTCACACAAACTGTTTGGCGACATTTTTTCTAGAATCTTAGAGAGGAAGGGGAGGTTAGAAATCGGTCTATAGTTGGCTAAAACCCCTGGGTCAAGAGTGGGCTTTTAAGAAGGGGTTTAATTACAGCTACTTTAAAGTACTGTGGTACATATCCTGAAATTAAAGAAAGATTGATCATATTTAGTAAAGAAATGCCAACTGGGGGTAAGACTTCTTTAAGCATCCTAGTTGGGGTGGGGTTTAAGAGACAGGTTGATGGCTTGGATGAAGAAATTATTGAAGTTAACTGATTTAGATGATTTATTGCAGAAAAGCAGTATATATCTGGATTTACAGTTATTGAGATTTGTTTTCCTCTCATTCCTCCCTAATTCCATTATTTTGAGATCTACTTCAATGTTTGGTAATAGCCACAGGGGAACAGCACTTACAGGGGTTGGGGAGATAAAATGCATTTTCTTTCAGGCCATATTCTTCTAGTTTGATTTTAGGTCTGCAGCCAAAACCATTACCCTTAAATGCTCCAAGTATTCTTGTAGCACCGTATTAGCTGGATTCTCGTCACCACATTCCTGTAAACTGATCCAAAATGTCCTGGTGTTTAATCTTGACCAAACCATGTCCTCTCTTCTACACTGCCTTCACCTTAATTGATTTCTGTATGCTGTAATAGTATCACCCTTTGGTATCTGTGCCCCACTTCTTTTGCCAGTGCCACAAATCTCTCACTGTCCTTCTTATTAATGATTTGATCTTTTGCAAAGGGATCATTAATGATTTCATCATTTAATTCCAACAATCTCTTTGAAATTGCATCAGCTCTCCACACCAACATGAGCAGGAACCCAACCAAACTATAGCTATATCGATTCCACTTCTTTGTATTCTCAGCATTTTCATATCAATTCCCATCAATAAATCATCTCGTTTCTTTAGAATTCAATTTATTAAGAGCTGTAGTAGAGTTTAAGCAACTGACAACTCTCTCAGTCCTTGCCTCTTCTATTGTAATCCTAAAATAACTGCAATTATTTCTGCTGTTAACACAAATAATCTATAGTTAAGTTTTAAAATTCTAATAATTTCTCCTTACATAATCCTGAACCAAATATCTAATTATAAAAAATATTCATGGAGGAACATTTCCCCACACAGTATTTGGCCCATACTCTGACCTATTTAAACCAGTATAGTCTTCTGCTACTGTATTAATATTCCATACAAATCTTTCCATGCAATCTTTGTGTTGTTTTGATTATTTCCAACAATCACACAGCACTTCTGTTGTAGGTTGTTTCTCTCCAGAGGATGCTTTTATTGAATATTGTTAAATCATCATTCATTTGTTTTTGTTTTTAAGGACATGATTTAACCAGTTAAGATCCTTATGAAATCCCACTTCTTATTTTTCAAGATACATTCCCAAGACAGTGATATAAGAACAATGACAGAATATTGCGATATCCAATATTATACATTTGCCAAAGGAAGACGATAAAAATGTAGAAATTAAAGCCAGACGGATAATGGAAGCTTCTTTTTAAAAAACATGTTTTTATAAACATAAACATTTCTGAAAAAGACACTTTATAATAAGTTAATAAGTTGTAAGTGCTCTCTGGTGTACAAACTATGTAATAGAGACACTGCTTCCATATTGCCTCATTTTCAAACATAGAGTATGTTTGGCATTTCTGTACTGCAATTTCTTATTATCTGACAACAGATAATGCTGACCATTTTATTCATCAGTCTGGCTTATATTTCAGTAATATTTACTGTAAGCACAGAATTAAAAAAAACTAATATAATATACATGAGCTTTCAGAACAATGATATGATGGTTGCTTAAAGAAAATTAACAAACCAGAATAAAAATGAGCATTTAAAGATGTGGCTATAAATGACTTTTGAGTAAAGCATAGTTCCCTTTATCCTAAAACTGATGATGTTCTCAAAACAATGAAAGAAGTATCCTGATATATGAAAACAAAGACTTTAAAGCTCAAAATGCCCTGCTTTTGTCAGTAGTTAGCTTTATAACTATCTGTGTACACTCAATCTATGTCCATTGGGACAGGATCCTCTTTCTGAGAGATAAATTTAAAGAACGTCATCAAACTCTCGTCATTTGTGACCTCTGAATTGGTAAGTGCATTTTTAAATGCCGTAATATTTCTGCTCTCGACCAGTTTCTTCAATTCAATCATCAGGTTTAGCTGTCGTGCGCAACTGCAAGAGAGGTATTTCTTCAACACATCAAACCGTCCATTTTCCACTAACTGGACAATTAAACGTTCAATAATGCTGCACAAAGAATGACCATACTCCATCACACTTCGTTTTTCGCCCCTTGCGTTGTGGTAGGGATACCCCCCTGTATGCACTGCAACAACATTACAGTGCTCGTTAATGACAGGAGAGCCAGATGAGCCATCATAAAAATTAGACTCATAAGTTAGAACCTGTCTCTGTTTCTCAACAGATTCTGCCACATTCTGAAAGAAATGAAAGCATTCTTTGTTTTCAAGGTAATGCCTCTCCACAACCTGGATGCGGTTATCAGTTGGAACAATCAAACACGAAACTATTTTTTTCACACCACCATCAGGATGCCCAATAATGCAAATCCCACCACTCTTAGAAGGGAATCCAAAGTGTGCAATCAGACCATGGGGCAATATCTGATCATCACCCAGCCTTAACAAAGCCCAGTCAGACTCTTGCCCTGACTCATTACGACAGTACTCAAAGCCAGTGACCTCTTCCACTTTTGATCCTGAATCTTGCCCTCCCTCCATCTGGTCTAGACTTTTAAAAGAGAAATGGACAGTGACCGTCTCATTAAGCTGCCCTTTAGTCTCATCATATATTTTAATTACATGGCCATTTGTGAGGACAAACTTGTCAAACAGGAGAAAGCCACTCCCTGCTGGTTTCCCATTTACTCTCACGTGGCAAACTGAATCACAGTGTTTCTTCAGTTTCTTCATTGTTTTCACTTCTGTAACTGTTTGAGGCTTTTTCCCATACTCCACAGGGAAGAAATTCTGGATACGTGAAAACTTAGATTGTGGGGTTTTCTGGCCCTTCATCAAACCTTCAGACTGTGAGGACAGGTGCATGATTTGATTTCTTTCTGCTGTCATATTATCATTTACTTCTGGTTCCTCATTTGG